CCCAAATACAGGACTTGGTCAATTCAAATATTTTACTGATGCATTACTGAGCCGGTTTTTAAATAATAAGTGGAAACGGAAACGCTTTTACATCTTATTTTGTATGCAAAACAGAAAGACTGACGTCATGTGTCAAAAACTCAATCAAGCGTAAAATGATGCGAGTTGGAGCAAAAAATGGTGCGATTCGTGAATAAATCGCACCAATTAGATTACAGGGACCACCAGTGATTTTAAAATGGATGTAATAAAGAATGTAACCTTCCACGCGCAAATAGCGAGAGCCACACGTTCCCTTCAGCTCAGACGCGCACGTGTCTCGCGTTAACTTCTGTTACACGAACTTTCAGTTTGAAATCAAACATGTTAAGGCTCTCCACTTAGATCTAACAAGTAGGTGACTGAATTTCAACGGGTCTGCGAACCAACCAGGGAGGTACCTTGTCTTTCTGCGATGGATAACTACTTTAAATATTCGGCGGGAAAATGCGAACATGAAAAAAAAAATAGGTCGATTAAGTTTGGATTCTCGTGGTACGTTGACCAGACTTTTATAACATTTGGTGGCTCCTAAAAGAGCCGTTTGTTTTTTGGCGGGAAACCCACAAAGTGAGTTTACTTGCTGCTGGTGTACTTGGTCACAGCCTTGGTTCCTTCGCTGACGGCGTGTTTGGCCAGTTCACCGGGCAGAAGCAGCCTGATGGCGGTCTGAATCTCGCGGGAGCTAATGGTCGATTTCTTGTTGTAGTGAGCCAGACGGGAGGCTTCGGTGGCGATGCGCTCAAAGATGTCGTTGACGAACGAGTTCATGATGCCCATGGCTTTGCTGGAGATACCAGTGTCGGGGTGAACTTGCTTCAACACTTTGTAGATGTAGATAGCATAGCTTTCCTTTCTCTTTCCTCTTCTCTTCTTCTTTCCATCAGCAGCAATAGCCTTTGCCTTACCGGCTTTCTTCTCGCCTTTCTTTCCTGCAACTTTGGGAGCCATGATTTCTGAAGAACAGTAACAACTGTAATGCCGGTCAACTACATGTTTCTGTAATTTATAGTGAATAGACGGAAAGATCAATTATCCTACGGATCGAAATCCTCGATTACTGATTGGTCATCAGCACGAACTGACCCTTGAGGTCAAATTTCTTTGTAGGCCATTTCGTTTGTAAACAAACAAAAGACAAACGGCTATTGAAATTCAATCGGTCAGTAAAGATATGATTGGCGCTTTTCGATCCTTGGTGCATAAATAACTAACCATAAATATTGGTGTTCATTCATTCTTCTGCATTCGCGCTTTTAGTGAAATTTCAAAATCATTTTCAAACATGTCTGGTCGTGGTAAAGGTAAAGCTAAGGGCACCAAGTCCAAAAGCCGCTCATCCCGTGCAGGGCTTCAATTTCCAGTTGGTCGAATCCATCGTCTTCTCCGCAAAGGCAACTATGCCGAGCGAGTTGGCGCTGGCGCTCCAGTGTACTTGGCAGCAGTGCTCGAGTACTTAAGCGCTGAGATCCTTGAGTTGGCGGGCAACGCTGCTCGTGACAACAAAAAGACAAGAATCATCCCGCGTCACCTTCAGCTGGCTGTCCGTAATGACGAGGAGTTGAACAAACTGCTCGCCGGTGTTACTATTGCACAGGGAGGTGTTCTTCCTAACATCCAGGCTGTTCTCCTGCCCAAGAAGACCGAGAAGAAACCGAAAGCTTAAGTCAGCTATCTTCTCACATAAAACGGCTCCTCTAGGAGCCACCACACACGACAAAAGTCTTCATCAACGGTCTTTTATTCCTTTTATGTTTGTCGAAAATACAAAAAACACCCTGAACAGAAGTGATGCCACTCTCCCAGTTTAAAAAAAAAAAAATTATTAAATCACTACATGGAAAAGCAGTCGATTGCTGTATAGAAGTCAGAGTTGTGGTCAATATTTTTTCACAGTTACGAGTTCGTTACGAATATCACGAGCACCCGTACCAAAATATCTTGGCGGTCTTTCACTGATGCTAATTTGGACTTAAAATGATTTGGCGCCAAAATCCCTCTGCTTTTAACTCACATCGGTTCATGGTCAAAGAAGTTCGTTTGTGTTGTTAATTAAAATTCTTTCGCCAAGAACGATATAGTATGATGTTTCAGATTAAAGAACACTAATTCTGATATGTGATTTATGGGAGCAAATCCACGACGCTAGCCGGTTATTCTGCTATATCACTGGACCGTTACAAATTGCGCCAAAATTTCTGGCATTTTATCTTCTTATCCACACTGCGCCAAGTAAAGAAAGTAACGAATATTTATATGCAGCAAATCAATACCCGATAAATCCCGATTGTCCAAAGCTCTTATGGCTTTTCTTCTTTTAAAAAGACTTCGCAATATTTTGCGCTTGGGATTACACTGAAAAGTGTGTACTAAGCGTCAACAATGTGAAATTTTGATTCACAAAAGGCGTGTGTATATTCGCTTGCTTTAAAAAAAAAACGTTACAGAAACTGTGCCAGAATGTCCAAAAGCGAGGTTTTTATTGCAGGTTCAGTAACGAAAAGTCACTGAGTCGTTAACTTTTCTAAAATGATAAATATTCTTTCTTTTCCTTAGACCACTCGATGAATATTATGTGCGCAAATCAGCAATGCGTCAGCCGGCTACTACTCTGCAACCTATCTAGATCGTTACATGAATTGCGCCAAAATTGTCACGCCTGGAGGTTAATATTGAAATTTTTTCTTCGTACTGCTCCCAAACCATCAAAGTACCAGAAACTTATGTGCGCCAAGGTCTATTGTTTCCCATTAGCTCTAAGGAATTTCCATGAGTGAAATCAACCTGTGGTCATCTCAGTAATTATAACGGCCACAACATTTCACGTGGTCAAACCACCCACTATGTGCTTAGTAGAGGGAACACCGTGAACTTCTGTGCTTTGCATTAAAATATTTACACTCTTCTGTACTTAACAGGGAAAGGATCTACAGAATCACGTTGGTAAATAATTAGAACTGAATTTAAACCACCAGAGACAAAGAACGCAATGTTCTCGCCACAGGTTTAGACTCTTTTATAGCAAGATTCACATAGTTTATCTCATTCACGTTTTTCAACGGACATTTTAATGTGTTCGAAAAGTGAATAAATGTGGCCCTTCGAGCGCGCGCTTCGCTGAGCAAAACGAAATATTTATTCGCTGTTTCTTATCGATCAAGACATCCATTTTATTGGTCACGACTTTCTTAAGATTTGGTGGCTCCTAAAGGAGCCGTTTGTTTGTGTGTTTGAGGTGTCCGTCTAACCGCCAAATCCGTACAGAGTGCGGCCTTGTCTCTTCAGAGCGTACACCACATCCATGGCTGTCACAGTCTTCCTCTTGGCGTGCTCGGTGTATGTCACAGCATCACGGATCACGTTCTCAAGGAAAACTTTGAGAACACCACGAGTCTCCTCGTAGATCAAACCAGAGATACGCTTGACTCCACCACGGCGAGCAAGACGACGGATGGCTGGTTTAGTGATACCTTGGATGTTATCCCGAAGGATCTTTCGGTGACGCTTGGCGCCTCCTTTTCCGAGGCCTTTACCTCCTTTACCGCGACCAGACATGTTGATTACTACTCGATTGACTGAGATATAAGCGGGTAAAGGACTGTTTTTTGCTTTATAACGGCAACAGTGACCTCTTAGAAAACAAGACAGACGTGGCTAGTTATTGGTTGAATGCGGAACAAAGAGGCCAAAGGCCAAATTGTACACAGTCCTTCTCGAAAGCCTGACGCTACCATCTCTTCTAATGAATAAAGTGCTGTCATTTATGTGCTAAAAGTTCATTTAAACTATCAATCAACCAATTTCGTCAAGCTTTTTATCGTTTGAAACAAGGTTTTCTCAGCACAAAAAGGGTTCCAAAGTATTATAAACTATTCCAAGTCGATTCAGATCGAAATACAACTACACTACCTTGAAATAATTTGCATTTTCCATACACGGCCAATCAGATCTCTTATTTTATAGCCAATCAGACACAAGCCCGCCAAGGTATAAATCGATTTGTAGGTGATTGCTATCACTATCAGTTAGCATTTTTCTTGTCTTGAATCAAACCAAAACATGGCCCGTACGAAGCAAACTGCACGTAAATCAACCGGTGGAAAAGCTCCACGTAAGCAGCTCGCCACAAAGGCGGCTCGTAAGAGCGCTCCTGCTACCGGTGGAGTCAAGAAACCTCATCGTTACAGGCCTGGTACAGTCGCTCTTCGTGAGATCCGTCGTTACCAGAAATCCACCGAGCTGTTGATCCGAAAGCTGCCCTTCCAGCGTCTTGTGCGAGAAATCGCCCAAGATTTCAAGACCGATCTGCGTTTCCAGAGCTCGGCTGTGATGGCCCTTCAAGAAGCTAGCGAGGCCTACCTTGTTGGTCTGTTTGAAGACACCAACTTGTGCGCTATTCACGCCAAGCGTGTCACCATTATGCCCAAGGACATTCAGTTGGCCCGCCGAATCCGTGGAGAGCGAGCTTAAGTGGACAGCATCCACATTCAAACACACGGCTCCTTTAGGAGCCACCACATCAGTAAAAGCAATAGCCAATGATAACCGGGAGTTCTACTCGAATTACTGAATATCGACACTCGTCAATTTAGTCTTTCTGTTTTTAACTATTCAATGAAACATCTTTTAGATAAACTACCGTTAAATTACAGAGACTGCTAAGGACAGCTTCGGTAATAGACATGAGATTTTGATTTATAAAATTCGGCGCGTAAACGATGTGACATGTGATGCTGATTTAAAAATTTAGGTGCGAGAACGACACTATTATGGCAAGGCTATGTGAATTTTCGTGATATTTGTACTCAAGTCGCTGAAATCATTTTCGTATTAAGTCACTTTTTTCTTTTCATTAGACAAATGTTGGTTTTGTGGGTGTAGTTTGACCCTGGCGTATTTGTCGCGATTGAAAAGCTTGCACATACGTACAATTACCAACCGCCGAAAGAGTTAACACGCGATACAAATTTTGAATAATAACATTTGATATAATTACAACAACTGAATTTCATGGTAGCACTGCTTCTTCGCGAAGTAAGAATTGATCCTAGATGTTTCCATAGTAGTCTCCTTCGCAGCCACTGTTCGATCTCCTCACCCAGGAGACTAAAAAGTTCAAGATTTCTGGAAAAGTGCTCTAATTACTGAAATTATAAAAGGGTCTTCATTTTGCTTACTAAGTGCAATCTTCACAAACCTAAAAGTGACTTTTGCGGCCAGCGTTCCACCTGATCCTTCAACAACCGACGCGGATAATATCATTCAAACTGATAGTATTTTCATACCCTATTTTCATACAGTCCTCTGTATACGTATGATGGACGATCCTCGCAGTAGATAGCGCTATTTGAGCAATAGCGAAATTCAGACCTGAAAAAAATCAGGCCTGTACGGGACTCGAACCACTGACCTCTGCGATACTAGTGCAGCGCTCTAACCAATTGAGCTAACAAGCCAACTGAGAGCAGGCCGTTAAGTTGATTCGTAATGAACCCGTGAAAGTGATGAATGAGATAGAATAAATATATGAAAATCATATAGTCCTCTGTATGTTTAGTACGATTCGAAACCTAGTTTACCGATCGGTTTTCTAAACAAGTCAGTCAAGAAATGGGCAGCAATTTGGGCTGCTCGCGAGCACATATTCACGAATTTCTTTGTAGAGAGTGAAGCGCCATCTTCAAGAGATGACCGGCGAAAGGAAGAGATTGTATTTCATTGCTGCTTTGCATTGAAGAAAGCGAAGCGCCATCTACAAGAGATGACCGGCGAAAGTAGGAGATTGTATTTCATTTCTACTTTATTATAATGACTGCGTGATGCGCGCCAAATTAATTCCTCCATTGCTCGTTCTTTATCTATTTCAACTTTCCAGAGCCGTACATATAACCTGAAAATACACATTTAAGATTTTGCATAAATTCGCTCACTAAAAGAGCGGAAAAGAGCGGTAAACAGCGGTAAAGTAAAACGCGTCCAGTTTGTATTGTCAACAACTCTACACATCAGGCCAAAAATCTACGTTACATCCACTCAGTTCTGTACTTATCTTCTCTCTACACTCTTTGGTGTTCTTTACCCTGTCGAATTATTCTTCAGAGGTTTGTTGTAAGTCACCGACTGATGTGTATCGCTGACCGAGCTCTGCGCGAAGCTTGACACGGTTCTTGTAACACTGACAAAATTTCCCTCAACTTTGTACACTACGTCAGCGTTCGCCGATCGCAGTCTTTTTCGTCACTTATTAAACTTCATATCTGTGTTTATATCGCTCTTATAACATGAACTAAATCCAAGGTCATGTTACTCTGGCGGTATTTGCTAATATGACCGCCGTAAACAAATTCAGTCGCAAACTGCATATATACATACAGGCATACATCTATACATCAGGTTAGAAGGATTGGCAAGACCGAAGTCCTGATGTGGACCTGCCTAACTACAAATTAAATACAATCACAATGAAATATATAATAAAAATTGGAAAAACAGAGGGAAATTACTTCTTTAATACAATTCTAATTAGATAACTTAAACACAAATAAATATTAAATTTACAATTAAAAATACAGGAAGTCATCGTGTTTCATTGAAACACATCAGGAACCTTTGGCAAAATTTATGCTATTGAGAAGGTGCTTGTTACCCATAAGCTTAATCTTAAACAATCTTAAGTTAGCACATTCCTTGACATGATGGGGAAGATTCCATACCAAGGCGGCCCTGTGTTTAAAAGACCTGCCAATTTCAGATCTTGGTCTTGGCACTTCTAAATTTAGAGAATTTCTTAAGCTGTAATTCGTTTTTGCCTTAGAAATTAAAATATTTAGATCCTCGGTATTTAAGCTATGATAAGATTGATAGGTCAGAACTAGCAGTCTTTTAACATGATACAAATGAATAAAGGCTAATAGTTTCGAAAGAAACTGTTTGGGGCTGCGTCGGTGAGGGTAACGAAATAATTTGGATATATCAACAAAGTATATTAATACAGTTTAGTACCGCTATTTTGTTTAGCCTGCTGTTGTCTCGGCGGTCCGCAGACTATTCAACCTAGTCAACTTTATAATTTCCCTTCCAAAAATTCCAAAATCTTGGAGACCTGATAATTTTACACTGCCAACCTGGTTTCGTTAAGTTTAAGTTTTTGTTTAATGTGGCACCACACTTAGCTACAAGCTACTTTCCAGGAGGCCCACAATAAATAACAGAAATAAATAATTCAAATTGAACATAAATTGTTAAGAACCCCAACTGGCCGGAGGCTATTTACCAGTTGGCTATTTACAAGCGTGGCCGAGGATTTGAACTCGGAGCTACCGTGAAACAAATCCAGAGAGTGGTCAGAGCAGGACTCGAACCCAGGAGCAGTGGATTACGAGTCTGACGCTCTGACCACTCAGCCACACTGTCTCGTTGTCTGTGCCCCTTTTCAATCCCCACTTTGTAAAATCGACACACAGTTTTAAGCAATTTTTTTTTTTGTTTTCCATTTCTCTAGGCATGGGTTTTCTTTCCCGTTTTAAAATTACCGCTAAGAAGACCAGTAAATCGAGTTGAAGGAAATACGTCGCTCAAAACTTTTTGCGTCACGTCTCGTGTTGAAAAACAAAGCACTGAAATCCTTTCAGTTGGAGCTTGCGCGCCTCTGGGGAATCGATAGTCACCATGGTGGGGGAGGGAGCGTTGCGTGACGAGCCCAAACAACCGCTGCGAAGGAGACTAGGGAATCGATAAAAAAACAATAGCTTGAGCGCAACTAGAATTATTGCGGAATTTTGCGCGCGACTAGGGGAATCGTACTAAACATACAGCGGACTGTATGAAAACAGGGTATGAAAAATATTATCAGTTTGGATGATATTATTATCCGGATCGGTTGTTGAAGGATCAAGTGGAACGCTGGCCGCCAAAGTCTCTCTTAGCTTTGTGAAGATTGCGCTTAGTAAGCAAAATGAAGACCTCTTTATTATTACAGTCATTAGAGCACTTTTCCAGAAATCTTGAAACATTTTAGTCTAGATGTAGTGCTATCATGAAATGTTGTCATTCAAAATTTGTATCGTGTGTTGACTCTTTCAGCGATTGGTCAGCGTGACGTTTTCAGGGAATTTTCATTATGCATGTGTATGTGCGAGCTTTTCATTATCGACAAATACGCCAGGGTCAAAGTACACTTAGAACAGACAAACCAACATTTGTCTGTCTAAGTAATAAAAGAAAAAAGTGACTCAAGACGAAAATGATTTCAGCGACTCGAGTCCCGTATCACGAAAAATCAATTTCCTTGCCATAATAGTGTGTCGTTCTCGCACCGACTTTTTAAATTAGCATCTCATGTCGTTCTCGCGCCGAATTTTACAAATCAAAATCTCGTGTCTATTACCGAAGCTATACTTGGTCGTCTTTAGAATGGAACGGTAGCTTATTTAAAAGATTTCTCATTGAATAGTTAGAAACAGGAAGACTAAACTGACTATTGTCGATATTCAATAATTCGAGTCGAACTCCCGGTTACCATTGGCTATTGCTTTTACTGATGTGGTGGCTCCTAAAGGAGCCGTTTGTTTGAATGTGGATGCTGTCCACTTATGCTCGCTCTCCACGGATTCGGCGGGCCAACTGAATGTCCTTGGGCATTATGGTGACGCGCTTGGCATGGATGGCGCACAAGTTGGTGTCTTCAAACAGACCAACGAGGTAGGCCTCGCTAGCTTCTTGAAGGGCCATCACAGCCGAGCTCTGGAAACGCAGATCGGTCTTGAAATCTTGGGCGATTTCTCGCACAAGACGCTGGAAGGGCAGCTTGCGGATCAACAGCTCGGTGGATTTCTGGTAACGACGGATCTCACGAAGAGCGACTGTACCAGGCCTGTAACGATGAGGTTTCTTGACTCCACCGGTAGCAGGAGCGCTCTTACGAGCCGCCTTTGTGGCGAGCTGCTTACGTGGAGCTTTTCCACCGGTTGATTTACGTGCAGTTTGCTTTGTACGGGCCATCTTTTGGAACGATTCAAGACAACAAAAAGTGTACTGGTGAGACAGCATTCACTCACAAATCGATTTATACCTTGGCGGGCTTGTGTTTGATTGGCTATAAAATAAGAGATCTGATTGGCTGAGTGTGAAAAATGCAAATAATCGCAAGGTAGTGTAGTTGTATTTCGATCCGAATCGACTTGGAATAGTTTGAAAGGCTTTGGAACCTTTTTCTGTTAAGAAAACTTTCTTTAAAACGATAGAAAGCTTGACGAAATTGCTTGATTGATAGTTTAAATGAACTTTTAACACATAAATGACGACACTTGCAGAGAATGGTAGCGTCAGGCTTTCGAGAAGGACTGCTTACATGCTAATTTTAATTTTAAGAATGTTTAATTGATTTGGCCTTTGCCCTCTTTGCTCCGCATTCAACCAATAACTAGCTACGTCTCTCCTGTTTTCTAAGAGGTCCTTGTTGTCGCTATAAATCAACAAAAATGTCCTTTATCCGGTTATAACTCAGTCAATCGAGTAGTAATCAACATGTCTGGTCGCGGTAAAGGAGGTAAAGGCCTCGGAAAAGGAGGCGCCAAGCGTCACCGAAAGATCCTTCGGGATAACATCCAAGGTATCACTAAACCAGCCATCCGTCGTCTTGCTCGCCGTGGTGGAGTCAAGCGTATCTCTGGTTTGATCTACGAGGAGACTCGTGGTGTTCTCAAAGTTTTCCTTGAGAACGTGATCCGTGATGCTGTGACATACACCGAGCACGCCAAGAGGAAGACTGTGACAGCCATGGATGTGGTGTACGCTCTGAAGAGACAAGGCCGCACTCTGTACGGATTTGGCGGTTAGACGGACACCTCAAACACACAAACAAACGGCTCCTTTAGGAGCCACCAAATCTTAAGAAAGTCGTGACCAATAAAATGGTTTTCGCAATTGATGTAAGATCCGATTTTAATAAATTCTTACGATTGGAGAGTCACGGGACAGATAACCGATTTACATAAGCAGTATTCGGGTTGGGTTTTCACGGTGTATCTATCTCAGTAAGAATTCTTTGAGAAATACTAATGATTTAGACGCCATGAATGATAATGGAGAATACAACGCTATGGGCTAGAATGAGAATACCGCTTTCTTATTTGTCTCTGTTGAAGTTTTAGAGTGAGTTCCCGGCGGAGGCCTCTTCCTTGTATTCAGCGTCTCTTTTCTCCTGCGCTCAAAGAACAAGGAAAAAAGGATTTCTGTTAGCAGGGAACCTAGCGAGCAATATTCAAGCGGCCGCTTTTTATTTTCTCGTTCAGTCCTCGATTCGCTAAGACTCTTTATCTTGGTACTGAGCCGACGACACCCACGCTTTTGGGTATCTTGGCGCAATTTCTGTAACGTTCCGTCGAAGGTTTACAGGAAGCGAATATTGCGCGCCATTTGTGAGGCAAAATGATATACTGTATTTTTTTCATTCTTAATACCCACTCAGTATCGCTCAAGATATTGCATAGAAAAGCGAGAAGAGCTTTAATAACTCGCAAGCGTTCGGTATTTTTTGGCGCAGAGTTGGCAATCTTCGGGGCTCATAGAAGATGACTATTTTGGCGCAAATTCTGTAACGTTCATTAATTAACGGTTCATTAACTGGCTAGCGCATTGTGGATTTGCGCACATAAACCGAATGTCAGAATATTGGTGCTTGTAATATGTAACGAATAATCGCACTATGTCGTTTTTGTTTATGGACAAAAGGAGCTTAAGGTCAGTAAAAAAATTTGTCGGCCATAAATCAACGCGAGTTGTAACTTTGTGTTTCGGCGGCGAACCATTGTGAGTCCAAATTCGCATAAGAGCGCTTACTCGTTTGGGACAGAAATGTATAAGCGTATAAAAATTGCCAAATACGATTGCCACAATAAGCGAAATTCCTTGTAGTGAATACATAAGATAGTTTTATTTTACTGGGATAGTGGTATTTTGTCAGGTTCTAGCTTGCACTTTTCGCATTTAGCCACAGCGAATTTCTTACTTAGTATGTCATATTAAAGGAATAAAAAAACCGTTGATCAGGACTTTCATCATAAGTGGTGGCTCCTAAAGGAGCCGTTTTGTGTAAGAAGCGAAAGCTTGTTTAGGCTTTCGGTTTCTTCTCGGTCTTCTTGGGCAGAAGAACAGCCTGGATGTTGGGAAGCACACCTCCCTGTGCAATAGTGACACCGGCGAGCAGTTTGTTCAACTCCTCGTCGTTACGAACAGCCAGCTGAAGGTGACGCGGGATGATTCTTGTCTTTTTGTTGTCACGAGCAGCGTTGCCCGCCAACTCAAGGATCTCAGCGCTTAAGTACTCGAGCACTGCTGCCAAGTACACTGGAGCGCCAGCGCCAACTCGCTCGGCATAGTTGCCTTTGCGGAGAAGACGATGGATACGACCGACTGGAAATTGAAGCCCTGCTCGAGATGAGCGGCTTTTGGACTTGGTGCCCTTAGCTTTACCTTTGCCACGACCAGACATGTTTGAAAATGATTTTGATATTTCACTCAAAGCGCGAATGCAGAAGAATGAATGAACACCAATATTTATGGTTAGTTATTTATGCACGAAGGATCGAAAAGCGCCAATCATATCTTTGCTGACCGATTGAATTTCAATAACCATTTGTCTTTGGTTTGTTTACAAAAGAAATGGCCTACAAAGAAATTTGATCTCAAGGGTCAGTTCGTGTTGATGACCAATCAGTAATCGAGGATTTCGATCCGTAGGATAATTGATCCTTCCGTCTATTCACTATAAATTACAGAAACATGTAGTTGACCGGCATTACAGTTGTTACTGTTCTTCAGAAATCATGGCTCCCAAAGTTGCAGGAAAGAAAGGCGAGAAGAAAGCCGGTAAGGCAAAGGCTATTGCTGCTGATGGAAAGAAGAAGAGAAGAGGAAAGAGAAAGGAAAGCTATGCTATCTACATCTACAAAGTGTTGAAGCAAGTTCACCCCGACACTGGTATCTCCAGCAAAGCCATGGGCATCATGAACTCGTTCGTCAACGACATCTTTGAGCGCATCGCCACCGAAGCCTCCCGTCTGGCTCACTACAACAAGAAATCGACCATTAGCTCGCGCGAGATCCAGACCGCCATCAGGCTGCTTCTGCCCGGTGAACTGGCCAAACACGCCGTCAGCGAAGGAACCAAGGCTGTGACCAAGTACACCAGCAGCAAGTAAACTCACTTTGTGGGTTTCCCGCCAAAAAAAACAAACGGCTCTTTTAGGAGCCACCAAATGTTATAAAAGTCTGGTCAACGTACCACAAAAATCCGAACTTAATCGACGGACTTTATGTTCGCATTTTTCCCGCTGAATAAAAAAAATAATTATCTATCACAGAAATTAAAGGTAGCTAGCAGTTGAGATTCAATCGCCAATGAGTAAAATTCAAGTTCAGAGCTTTACTAACATAATTTTCTCTGGGTGAGATTTAGTTTACTTCTCTAACTTCATGTTTGATTTCAAACTGAATTAGTCGTAAAATTTTTATAAAGCTTGTTTGAAATGTTTTGGTTTGCCGCCTAAAGCAAACGGCTCCTTTAGGAGCTACCAAATGTTTTAAAAGCAGGGTTCGTACGCGTTTTGAAAACCCTTGAAATTCAGGAGGCCGATTTCAAGGCCTTGAAAGTACTTGAATTTCGTTTCGGGTCCTTAAAAGTCCTGGATTTATTATTGAACAACATCGAAAAATATCTGCATTTGTTTTGCACCATCGGTAAACCCAAAACATAGATCTTAACACAAACATTTTTCTTGGTTTTGAGGTAAAATTGTCATTACAAAAAGTCCTTGAAATTTCTAAGTAGGGTCCTGGAAAGTCCTTGAATCTTTGGCCTGAAAAAGTTTACGAACCCCGTAAAAGTCAAATGATTAGTAAATTACAAGAATGCCCGTTCTCACTTTAGTGCAGGACATCTTAGCTGAGAAATGAATTCGTCGGAAACGTGATCTACAGTTTTATATTAGTACGCGCGAAATCCCTCAAGCCACAATATCAGCTCACACCTTGCACAGTTTCGCTGCCGTCCAATGTAGATTAAATGTTTTCAATCACCTGTCTTGTCATGTTGTTCAAGCCCCTCTTTCCTACGTGGGTCTCCTGGACTTGTGAACAAATATCGGCGCCCGTTTTAACGCAAGACTCTCCAAAGTCTCTCCTTTGTGATCTGTTAGAGATTGAAGGTTGATTATTTCTTAAGCTATGATGGATTTGTGTTCCAGCGCAAATTTGGGATCAATTGCCCTATGTGCAGATCGCAATTTAGCGTGCAGGACAAGCGTAGACTACGAGCATCTTTCTTTTTAAACTCCGTCGCGCGAATAATAATAATAAAAAAGATCACATACGAAACGACGCTTTTCGCGCGCCACACTTCTGGAAAGCACGGCGCGCTAGCATCAATTTTGTGTTTTGCTGATTTATTTTTCCTTTGAGTCGCGCGACGGATATGGACGACAAGGACGGACTGCTTGTAGTCTGGGACAGGTGCGGCATCCCCACCCCTCTCCCCCCCTCCCCCCGTACCTCCCTGCCTCCGTCTGAAAATTGCAGAAATGAACACTATGTAGGCTTGCTTTTTATTTTTTCAGACATTAATATCACTGAATCTGTTTCAGGTTTTTTCAGGGTAGAGCTGTGTATGGTGTGACTCTGGCTTTGTTGGGAAGTACAATTTTTATGGCTCTTTTTCAGTACACCGGAGACTGGGGTCTCATGGTGAACGCCTTATTTATGTTCCTGGCCGGAGCTTGCAACTGTGGCGTTGATCCGTACCTGAGTGGTTCAATTCCAGCAGAGATTGGCGAGCGGGATAACGCACAAGCAGCTGCTACTGGCCTTGTCAATGGTTAGTGGGAATGGGAGCAGGACTCATTGCAGTCACTGATCTAGTAGACCATCCCCTTCCCCGCCCGGGTTTTTTTAGAGGGAAGGGTTGCGTGCACTAAGCCCGAAAAAATCTAGCTTTCTTGACAGGCGTCTTTAAGGCGCGCAGAAATGAACACGAGGCTTACACGGGAACGCCTCCTTTTCACGCGTGCTTCTTTCCTTGCGCTTGTTCCTCGCGCTTTTTCCGCATTTCGCTCTGCTCGCGTCAAATCACGGCAAAAAGAAATGGCCTGTTCTGGAGGCAAGGCGAAAGTAGTATATACGTGCTCGTGAGAGAAATTTCCAATTCAGCGCGGGTTTTGATTCGCTCCACCCTCTCCACCAATCAGATGGAAAACTCAACTAACCGCAACTTGGTCTTGCCTTAGACTGAAGCGACTCTAAGTAACAAGAACGCAGACGATGACGGCGACGCCAAAACCCGCAAAGAGACTAGGTAGAGAACGCCATGGAGGCGGAAATTTACAAACAATAGATTGCCTTCCTAGGCTTTGCATCCATGCATCCATAATACTTGCTCTCGGTGATATTCCTTTGATTTAAAGAGCCTTTATGTTGCTTTTAATTACTCTTTGTTTTATGACACAAGTGATAAGTGCTTTAACATTTAATATCCCTTTTCTTTTCCAGGTTTTGGTGGCATTGGCCCTATAATTGAAGGGCCCGTTGTGGGCTGGATCGCTGACAGGTACGGCTGGACAGGGCCCTTTTACTTGATGGTGGCCATGTCTCTTCTTAGCTTCCTCATAATGGTGAGGGCTCACAGAATGGACCAGTCGATGAAAAGGGCGCAATTTATGGGAACAATAACTGCAGAAACAGCCTGAAGAACCCTGTGTTTAGCAAAAAAGATGAGCGATCAATCACAGAGCGCCAACCAGTGAAAACCTCGTTCTTAGATCCTTATTTTGTGATCGTATCGGTGGACATGGTTTAGCCGTGAGAGGCCCGAAAAGCAGGTTACGTAAATCGTTAGGGAATAGATTTTATTCAAATTTTCTTTGATTACCGCGTAAGGTTTTAAATGCAAGATTACGCGTTTGCTCACACTAGCGCATCCCCTAATTGCTCAAATAGCCGTTACGCCGTGTTGTGGCTACTTTGCTTCCTTTTTAAAGTCTGTTGTAACATTCGTACATAATTTCCTTATTTGTGGAGATGATAATTTAGTTAGAATATGTGCTGGTGATGAATAAAGAGACTTAATGTCGTCGAACTGCTAGACTGCAAAACATTTCGTTTATTTTTCTTGTAAGCTGCCCACGTTCTTACGCGCGACTTGTGACTCTCACTCGCGCGAGGTTCGCGAGTGAAAAATAACTAGCTCCAGGCTCCCTCTACTTTTACTCTAACCAAGGCCTTTTGTTTGAATGCCAAACTCTTTCATAGGACAGTGAAGGTCTGAGAGACTGGGCAGACATACGTATTGCATTCAACTACACAACCGACTAATTTCTGTTCCATTCATTCATGGTTTGAGTAGATTACCGATGAGCACCCTTATTACAGAGAAACATGTCAGGGTGCTTTGTGATTGAGTGTTAGAATACCAAAATTAAAGTAATGGCTTTAACCAATCAGAAGAAACAGAAACACCTTAAGGGCCAATGGGTATTCAAAGTAAAAAATAACCAGAATGGAAGAGCTTGGGAAAAGGCAGGCAATCAAGTCATGATTGGTTTTAGTTTTGCATCTGATTGGTTGGGAGAGTGGCACAAGTTTTCTGGACCAATCACAGAGTGAAGTAAAGCGAAGTCTCATATTACATTGACACATGATGAAAACTGCAAAATTCCTGATTACTTTGTAAAATTTCTGGAATTTGCCCTTAAAAGATGTATGTTTCACTCTAATTCACGGAGGTGGTTGTTCAGCTTGTTTCATGTTCCATTCAAAACATCCTAGTTGTCATTTTCGCAAACTCTCTAAGGTATGCGTCCTAATTTAACTCCTATGGACAGGTGAACAATTACTGTGAATTTTCTGTATACCCGCCGTCTAATTATATGGGCAATGCATCGTCAACTGTCAAACATGAAGGTCCACCAAAAGTCAAACAACATGTCCTGGAAACAGGGCTAGTTTCTCATGACAACAACACAGTTTTACATCAAAGTGCCAAACTTCCATCACACCTCACTCAGCTTAATATGGTAGTATGTGATTGGACCATACACAGTTGACCTGCAGGAATTAAATCAGTGTCCACATCTTTCTGCATTTTAAAGTAAACATCACTTCAAACAGCACTAACTTTCAGTCACAGTTCACTGAAATAATAAAATAATTTATTGATAACCTCACCTTTTAAAACAAGAAGTTACAACTGTTACAATATTATCCCAAACACAATATCTATCCAATAATTGATCTGCATACTGACATTTGATCAAACATATTTCATTATTTCACAGGAATTTCAGAAAATCAAATTTATATAATTTTGAGACTTTTATGGATTACCTATCACAAAGGTTATGACTGAAAACTTTGGTGGATCATGTCAAGAGAGAGTAAAAGACATTGGCTAGTGTGCAATACTTTTTAGCTATTTTTCTGTGAGAAGATTTATGCCTTCCAATTTGGTTGACATTTACATCATAAATTCCTATAATCACCCAAAGCTAGGTGACTGTAAATATACATCCAGTAGACTGCATTACTTTTCAAATTGGTTGCATTGCATTTTACAATAATAAATATGTACCCTTTCTTACACTTTTTTTGTGTGACTTTAATAATATTGTTAAGTGCCCTGTGCACTGGAAGCCAGATTTTTAGAGGAAATCAGGTTATAGCAAATGTTTTCATATTTCCAGACTGGCAGAGATATGGTAGAGTATTCTTCTGTAGCCAAATTAATTGGCCTCACTTAACTCTGACTTAAAATCTCTGATACAATAGAGGCAAAGAGGCTTATTAATTCACGAGTTTGATTGGCTGAAATCAAGATTGAAAGCGGTCTAGATTTTCCAGTCTAGATCTCTAGATCGACATCTAGACTAGTCTAGAAAAAAAAAAGGTACAAAGAATTTAAAAAATTGGCATATAAGACACAGCCATATAATAAACAGCTTATTACCCGAGCTAGGTCGGTCTGTATGGGAGAATCTTGACCTCACTGCGTTGGGTCTGTACTGGCAACCTCGGTCAAGGTTCCCACATACAGACCTCCTGCTCGGTTAATAAGAACTAAATGTTGAGAATAACAAAATTCATTAAATTTTGGAAAAAAGTCAATATAGATGTTAACCATTTGTCTCCCAGAAGTGATTAACATGTAACTTCTCCCTAAAATATCCAATAAACAGTTATGAGAATCAAACTTCTCAGGTAGAAGTTATCATCTGAATCTATCACCAAATTCTCATACCTTATTCACAAAGAATGTTTACAAGCTAGAATACTGAGATGTATTAAATATTGAGAATAGCAAATCTCTCACATTTTCGGAAAAATTTAATTAAGTTAAAGAAATGTTCCTCTTGTATAACTAAGCAAGACTTAAAAACTACACAACACTCCCTCCATTTTTCTGCTGTTCTTGATTTCCATTGCCTTTATGAGACTGCTCAACTTTGTTGTTATGCTCCACTTTCATTTCACTGTGTTTCACAAAAGTGTAAGCAGTTGAACCCCCTAAAACTAATGCATTACTGAACCACCATAGCGCTGTTTTAATCTCTTGATTCACCGTCACAGAAAGAATTGTCTGAGCACAAGCCTTTGCTGTTCCACTCACATTGTGTGTCAAAGGACTTGTTACTTTGATTTGCAGGCCTGTTACATATCCAATTGCAATTCCCAACAACCCACCCAAGACCATCATCCCCCAAAAGTACATAGACTTGAGCATGTGGAAGCCATGGATTACTTGTATTTCACCACATATCCCCATCAGAGGGAGAAAAAGAAAAACAGCATTAAAATTGTTATAGAGTTGTAGACGCCAGATGTTACTGTCAACAACTGGGAGAACTTTTTTAGTGAAAATTGCATTTAGGGATACACAAAGGCTGGCTAATACTCCAAACAGAATTCCAAGGTAGGACAATTTTCCCGAGTTTCCTTCTTGGTCCACACCCAGGAGAAAACCACAGATAATAATGGAACAGCACAACATAGCTTTGCACGATGTCTTCTGGCCAAGGATAAGGAAGGAACAGATCTAACCAATAAAGCAAACAGAGAAAAAATTAAATTGACTGTAAAATCACTGATTGCATTCATACTGTTTTCAATTAGTGTTATTATTTCCACCATCACAGTCAAATATTACAGTAACCCTTCTTGAAGATCTTACAACAACTTCCTTCTATTATTACTGGTAACCAACATAAACTAAAATCTTCCACTCTTTCACATTATTATAGCGATACTTAAATATATATCATTAGTAGAAAATTGCATTCCAAAATTTAATTTAGAGCTGCATCTCATTATATGTAATCATAGTACTTACCACATTGAAAACTGTTGTAAGAGATCTTCCAACATTGTAAAATGATACTCCAAGGTACTTGAGACATAAGTTATTGAAAGTTATCATTCCCACAAAAACTATGGACAGTGGAAGAACCTGTGAAGACGTCAGAGGACAACAACTTTTAAACCCTAAGAGTGACCACCATCCAAGGCTTGACACGAACTAGCCACAGACTAGTAGAAATTCATTTTTGGCTACCGGTTTTCAATTTCTACTAGCCAGTTTGGCGAGTAAACAAACTGAAATTGTTGTAACATCTAAGTTGTCACTAGTTGCTTGGCTAGTAAGTTGAAAAGTTAGTGTCGAGCCCCGCCATCTGGAAACGTTGCTTTGTCCCAATTGTCGCTACAAACTTCGTTGCAATTGTACATCATAGTCTTTTGTTTTTAGTTTTTCCAATAGTTAATCTTAATCAACAATGCTCCATGATACTCTGTAAGTTTTTTTTTCTATTTTCTCTCACATGTATATACATGTTTATTTATTATTTATACCTTGTCATTATGTATTTTTTTCATATTTTATGTCAATGTTTCAGCAGTGTGAGGGCCTCATGTTAGATAACTCCTTGGGTTAATGAGCATCCTTGTCCTTAAATAAAGTTTATTGATTGATTGATTGATTGATTGATTTATTGATTGACTGCCGAATTAATCAGTAAGATCACTAGAAAGAAGGAAATGATTGCCAACCTGAGAAACTTTGATTGTTAAACAAATTCTCCTTATCAGTAACAAAGGAAATGTATAGAGAACAGTATGGAGAATATGGATGTTATAAACAAAGATGAGGCAAATGGCTAAAGCAAGGACATTTTGGTGCTACTACTTAACTGGACACACAAGAATGATAATATTGAAGCCATTGGCCTTGCAAGCCTTTCAATGTCAAGTAGATCCATGGAGTGATTTCCCCTTACTGTATTGCTACCATATCAAGCAGACAGGTGACGAAAAAGTAGACTCATGTTAACTAGAGGATTATCACTTGATTGATTAAAAGGTACTAAATTCTTGATACTAATATCATGAGTACACAACACAAAGAAAAGAAAATTATCTTTGAGATCTAGAGAGTAAAAGGATTAACGTACTGTGTCATTGGTCTAGCCTAAAACTGTTAACAAAGATCAAATATCCAAAAAGATCTGACTTGAAAACCACTTTATACTGAACTTGACAAAAATTGTACATACCTCTCTTGACACCTTTAGATCAATACTGAAAGCTGGGAACTTGTCAATCCATGGATATTTATCCCCCAAGAAACTCAAAAGGAACAGGCAAACTAAGCAAACAACACACTGAAACCACGTGACAAACAGAGGAGCATCGAGCTAAAATAAAAGTGCACAAAAACATTTGCATCAATTTGAAAAGCTGTACAAGCAGTGTAATTCTGAACCTTTCAACCCCAGAAGTGATTCACATGTAACTTCTCCCTTTAATATTCCTACAATATCCAGCAAACAGGTGGTTAGAATACTCAAATGTATCAGGTAAAAGTTGTTAGCTTGATACAACACCAACATCTCATAACTGAGTTACAAGGAAATGTGTAGCAGTTAGAGGGGAGAAATTATTAAAAATCAGATCTTAGGAGGTAAGGAGTAAGGAAATGAGACTGATCTTTTCTTAACTGATCATCTTACGTGTAAATCTTACAGAGAAGAGCTAAACTTATCCTGAAACGTGATGATCCCTATGATATTCGGTTAAAGAAGTCAAACCTCATGTCACTGGAGAGGAGACGATCACCGGCTGATGTGGCTTTCTTGTATAAAGTACTTAATGGCACCATTGATATTAACGTCAGTCAAATTATATAGATTTCTACTCGAAAACTGACCGCTACTCACTTTGGGCTAAGAATTTTTTAACCTTAAAGAGGAAATATGCTAGAACTAATGTCTTAAAATATAGTTTTTTTCCATAGAATTACTGACCAGTAGAATCAACTACCGTTAGCCATTCGTGTTTGTGATAATGTCAATATTTTTTTTTTAAGTCTAGAGTTAGGAAATTTTCCGTGATTCTTAAGTTGCTATTATATTTATATATATTTTTAGGTGATCTGTTTTTATATGGGGTATAGGACTCCTTTACAGTTCATCCCTTGGTTTTTAATCCATAGATTGTAATAAATAAATAAATAAATAAATATTATCAAATAACTTGAGTATATGTAATTTATTTTTACCTTCAGGTCAGGACTACTGAGTAGATACTTGTTCAAGAACACCATGGATATTGAAATTACCCTTGGAAAAAGAAACAAAAACGTAAAGAACTATGCAATAATAGTACAATTAATACAAAATAAACAGGAAGAATGAAATTGAAAAATATTAGCGGCTTGTAACGTGGCAGTGTTATCTAAATACTCATGAAAATTCATCAGACATAATTAATTCAGAATAATTTCTGAAATATGTCTTCATCTTACGTGTAAATCTTACCAATATAGTGTTACAACAGTAGCAATCCGCACAGATTTCACAAAAACTGAGTCAGACATGTTGAGCTTCTTTGAATTTCGCCGCAAGTGGCGAGTAGATATCGTAAACAAAGATAAAAAATATGGGGACACCGTTCTTGATCGTTGCAGCGTGGAAGACTTTTCAAAGAGTAAACTTTAACAGCGGAGTACCATACTGCACAGGCGCGCAACTTTGCATAATCAACATGACTGACTAACTAACTAGTATATGGCTGATTTTCATAAAAATTGCTTTTAATTCTTGTCCCTCAAAGATCTTTCGAAGAAAAAATGTGTAGTGTTCATGAAGAAGATATCGAGTATTTCGTATCTCAGCAGCAAGCAAAGGGATCTAAAGAAGAACTTGGCGGTAGAAGAACTTGCATGAAGTGCGCTTTAGGCCCAGCGGTTGTGGTTGTCCGACTAAATGATCCCTTATGCAAGTCCTGTTTTCTGGCGTATTTCACCCACAAATTTCGTGCAACGATCGGGAAAGCACGTGTGATACGGGCTGGAGAAAAGATTTTACTGGCATTTTCTGGAGGTCTGTCATCGTCTGCAATGTTGCATTTAGTTTGTGAAGGTTTGAGTGGAACAGCTCCCAAAAAACTTCGATTCGAACCGGGACTCGCTTTTGTTGACGAAGGAGAAGTGCTGAAGCAAAGCGTAATAGAGCATTCTAGTTATATCGAACAGATTCGAGGCATAGTCTCAAGAACAGAATTTCCATTTCATCTGGTGAAGCTGGAGGACATATTTTCCCGATCTGCCCAAGATGATACAAGTTGTTGCAAGAGGTCTGAAAAAGCTGAAAAATTGAAAAGCCTGTTTGATGCAATACCTTCAATGACAGAAAAAGAAGACTTGCTGAAGACACTGCGTAACCAACTGTTGCTTGCAGTGGCAAGGAAAGAAGGTTATTCTAAGGTAATGGTTGCAGACTGCGCCACCAGACTATCAGTGAGACTGTTATCTAATGTATCCCAAGGAAGGGGTGGGGATTTGCCATATGACACTGGCTTTAGTGATGATCGTCATGGTGATGTCATATTTGTGAGACCGATGCGAGAATTCATGACTAAGGAAATAGCTCTGTATAATTTCTTTAACAGTGTCCAAACTGTAGTCATGCCAACGCTGTCCACAATGAGCCATTCACATGTCAGCATTGACCGTTTAACAGAAGAGTTTGTGAGTGGCCTTCAAGCAGCTCTCCCGTTTACTGTCAGTACAATTTTTAGAACTGGAGATAAGTTATCTGTTAAGGAGTTCACAGATGAAGTTGCTTCTTGTGCTCTTTGCGCCATTCCGCTGAGTGTGAACCCAATTCTTCTCTCTACTTTGACAGATGGCCTGAGTGCCGTTCAATTCAATGCTGACAACAAAACTTCTCCACAGTCTGTGACAGAATGTTGTGGCAGCTGTGAAAGTGGCTGTTCAAATTCTTCGACTGAACAGCCAGTAACCGGAGATAATATCCTTGAAACTTTATGTTATGGTTGCCGACTAACATTTAGAAATACAAAGTTTAATCCAAGTGATTTGCCATCATTTGTTCTGGATGCCACAAAGAAATCTCTTCACAGAGCCCAGATGAAAGAACAGATCAAAGATTTTTTGTTGGATGACTGAATTTACTTGAACTAGCAGTGACAATCAGTTATTTCACTGGTATATTTTTTTGTGTCATTATATAACAATTTTTTGAAAAACCACTGCATTTTCTGTTTATTTCTCAAGTTTGTTATCTATTTATTTAGTGTAAGCACAGTAGCATGTATGGATTATGAGGAGTGCCTCCTTTTCTGTCAGGAGCCAAGGAGTCTGTCAGAGGAGTCAAACAAACATGGAATTGAATAAAGTGTAATGTGGTCATTGAATTATGAACATGCAAGAACAATCATTTTCTCCAGGGTCTTGTTTGTTAATTCCTATGTTCCCGAAACTTGAAAAAAACACTTGGGACTTGCAAAGGGATGCATGTGTAAATGATATCCACCAAATACGCTGACATGTTCTTCAAATAATGGACAGAGATCTGATGGGCACAAGCCACTGAGCATGTAGTACTCCTTTGTTTGACCCTACTTTTTGAGATCCAACCAGTAGATTTTGTATTTTGTGACCACACTCAAAAAGAACTCCAGCTGAATTTTCAAAATTATGTGTCTCAAGCATCCCATGTAGTGATCTGCCATACAGAAATCCCAAAGTAAAAATATATTTATCATCTTTGTATGAAACTTTATAGTGTGACTGTTCTAGAGAGATCCTCCATATCGGTTTTATGCTAAACATAATCTAATGGTTATCTTTCTACAATGTTTAAATATTGCAAACCAAATTTGAGTGGTGAATCTGATCAAACTTGCACACCTCTAACCTCCTCTCTGCAGTAAATCTGATTTTTCAGTGTAAGATCTTTTTACAATCCAGACTATCTTCGTTCAGTCAATCAAAGGTTATCATCAAAATTATAGAATTATTGTATCAAAGAACTTGTTTTAACTGGAGAAACCTTGAAGCTTACACAGAGGCTATGTAGTCCATGGACTATGCCACTGACCATCGACTAGTGTCTGCTTGAAAAGTGACTTTGCGGGACACTGGCGTTCGCGAGTATGACCAAGTTGACAGAATGGATCATCTTTGCTGCACTAGCTTTCTCGCTCTGGATTACCCTGTTATCAGACATTCTACCTCTTAAAGTATCTTACAAAGCCAAGGAAGTGATATGGCCGGTAATCATTTGAACATTTTACGAAATAGGGTCGGGCTTACACACGATGAACTAAGACCTTTGAATTGCGTCCAACAGGGAACATATTTTTCTCACGTTGTATTCTATTTTCCTTTGCAGATACCAGTCTATGCTCTAATTGTATTTGGGGTGAGTTTATTTTGTGCACTTCTTACTATGTTAAACGTTTGATATTTTTCCGTAGGTTATGTTAAAATTAGAGTTTTGTTCCTCTGGCATTTTTACTGATCAGCTGAGTTCGTTTTTCCCTCAGTGTTATTCTTTGGCAACTATTGGTTATCGAGTAGCAACTTTCAATGATTGTGTAGAAGCCTCTGAATCTTTAAAACAGGTAAGGAGCTCGAACTGTGCTATTTTTATAGTTTCTGCCTGATTTGCAAGGTTCTGGTTTTAAATTTTTGCGAAGTTGCTTTTGTAACCAAGGAGACCTGTTACTTCAATTATATGTTAGAAATATGTATTGTTGACCTTATATGAAGTCGCTATGACTGGTTATTCGCCATTTTGACATATGAAGCGTGGTTAACCAAGTATCTATCATGGTTAACAAAGTGTCTATGCAATTCGAGAGTTTTCATTGGCATAGAGGTTTTGAGCTATTATAACATGTGCATATATTGGGAAGATTTATCAAAATTTTGGGTTTTTTTTGATAAAACAGTTACTCCACTTGCATTTGTTGGATGTGAAATGATTATATCCAACTCGGCCTTACAGGCCTTGTTGACTATCTATCGTCTCATATCCAATGTGCTCGTGGAATAATTGTCAATCATGGCATTTCCAACTCTTGGATTACTTCTTAAACTCCCAGTGGTGATAAACTTATTGGCTTCAGAATTTTACATAAACCCTTTCCACCCTGACATCAGTATGCATATTCTCCGCACTATTCCATACTGTTCCTCTACAACTGACAATGAGAATTTGTCATAAAAATCAAGATCTTCTTGACAGATGATCATTTCCCCTATTGTCACAACACTAATGTGTGATTCAGCTGTGCTATAGTGAGGAGAATTTAGGTGTGAATCACTCTTTTGGATCACAGAGTAAATGTGACACCAAATTAAGGACAAGTAAACCATAGGTCCCATCTCCTGCATCTATTAATTAGTTAATTTGGTTAGGCAGGGGAAGTTAAAGAACCCACTCATGAGATTACTGTGATGTGATCTGGCCTGTTTACTGGGAATTGGGGGGATAGCTTGCAAATATGTCTGTCATAGATGTTGCAAGATGATATACATAAATGTAAAAAGAAATTTTCCACAATTTTATTGAGAAATCTGTGATCTTGGGTTGTTAAGAGTTAAAAGTTTTTTTTTTGTTTGTTTGTTTTGACTGACTTTTTACAGGAGATAAATGATGCGAGAGAGGACTTGTCAAAAAGAGGATTCAAGTTTGACTGAAGAGATCAGCAGAAAGAGAAAGAATATTCTTACAATTAGCTAGAAATTTATTGGGATTTCAACTTCTGGAAACAATAATATGAAACTTAACAAAGCAACACTGGTCTTGTGTGGTCTGTACTCTTATCAACAATGAAAATTCATTATCACAGTGGTCAAGATGTTGTGCGAGTCCACGACACATTTGTCCACTGTAATGACAAATAGCATTGTCAATTAAGAGTACAGACCACTCCAGACCACTTTCCCTTTTTTTTACCACAAAATTGGTGTGAAATAAAATGATTCTTTCAGTGCCTGACCATTGCTAGGCACATAGGCGTGAACAGCATTGTCTGTGCCCTTATCGATGATGGCAAATTGGCTACTCAGACTGCAACATTACTGAGAATTGTGGTAAAAATAATATGACTTTTCCCTTCTTAAACTTTTAAACCTTTACTACTTCAAGGTATGTTTTCTCCATATTGCCTCCTACACTTTCCCATGTTGCTGACAAAGAGAATTTGTCTAACATTCAAGAGCTTCTTTAGTTGGTGATCATTTCCTTTTTTCTCCTGACCTTAACATATGATTCATACTGTAGGTGATTTTCTAAGGAGAATAGTTCATTTTACAGTTGTGTGCTTGGTTGCCAAGCCTTTGAATGGGAGTGAAGCTAGGGGTGACCTTTTTTTATGATTTTTATGATACAAACCTTGCTACCTTTCAAATGTAAATCACTTTGTTATCATGCTAAGTAGATACAGGTCTCTATCACAACAAGGTCACCTTCAGCCTCACTCTGAATCAAAGGCTTGGCAGCTAAGTACACAGCTGTAAAATGGCCTATTAGGAGTTAGTCACTCCAAGGGGCTACTATGCTCATATTGGTAACTGTACCTATCTAGTTGTAACAACTGCTTCTATGTAATTCACTCTTTTAATAACTAGACTTCCTGACAACTACAAACATGTGGCATTCCAAAGCAGAATACACCTGTACAAACAGAACTACAATTGTTGGAGGGGTGGACTTGATGTTACACCAGCAGGAAAGAAAAATCAGATATAAAGCAAGCTGTCTATCTTGTAAAACATCTGACTGTAATTATATTATTGATGATTATAGGAATAATGGAAAATAGAATTTCATCATTTTGGTTATGTCGTATGATTGCTCTCTCTAGAGTAGTGGACATGTCCATGTTTTAGCTATGTTGGGATCCTTCAGCTACAGCAGTCAGTACAAAGAAAAAAATTTCAATAGCCTCCTTACCACTGCTGGATTAACTCAGGTTGCATAGCATGGTATTGCTGAGAGTTTGTGCCTTTCACCGATCAACACTCAGGGTCTTGAAATAACTGAGGAGAATGTGCTGCCTTTATTGAGACATCTACAAATGTTTAGGCTTTCTAGTCTTCTCAGATAACGATGAAAACCGTAGGCCTTGTCTCTTGGGACGTTGGGTAACCCATGCTCTTATTGCAGATTAGGAAATGTAGTTCCTAGTGATGTATTCTGGCCTTGTTTCAAAAAAAAAACTAACTATAGACAAGAGACATCTTTTCGGTTGCCTGGAGGAGAAAGTCCTCTCAATCACTTCTGTGCTATACAATCAGTGTATACGAAAGCATTTTCCACCTGTGTGGTCTCCGCTTTGTAGCATCAATTACTTACCTACCCCACCCATGAGAAATTTTTCTCTCATTCAACTCACGTAATCAATGGTAACGTGACTTTTTCAAAACATTTCAAAATGGCGGCTGTGCGCTGTATTTCAGATCAAAATGAGTTTTCGTTTTTAATTTAAGCCATTTATAAGTTATGTCATGTACAGGTCTATATACCATTTGGTGAGCAGGGAGAAGGGGGTCCTCCCCATCCGTGCTGGAGATATATTTGAATTTATTGAACAACATGATGCAAACTGGTGGCGAATGCGCGCACATGATAGTTCTGTCGGACTCGTTCCTGCTTGCTACTTGCAGCCTGTCGAAACGGTGAGAAAAATAATTAGAGTATGTTTTAGTGATCTATTTGAATTTAAGGGTGCCTATTTAGTATCGTAGATGGTAGAGTTTCCCAGCCTTCACGCAGAATTTATTTGCCGGCGAAATGTCGATAGGCTGAGCTAATTTTTGTTTAGACGAAGTAAATATTTTTTCCTTGTACTTTACAATGCTCTCTTGCTAGATGAGTTGTTAATGAAGGCCTTGAAATCAGGAAAGTACATTAACCTACGGCTTACTGATTTGACTCACGCATGCATCAGTATCTAAAGAGAACATTCGCTTGCAAATTTCCACGAGTAAAGAGGAGAAGTCCTGTTAAAGATTGTCATCAGTGATTGATGTTTAGAGAACCAAGGCGTTGATGACAACGGTGGCTTCCACGTAGGTTTTTGAAAGACCAGTTAGCTCAGTGTAATACAGCTCTTTTCAGGACTTTCTCAACTGGAGAATAAAACAATCATACCAAAGAAAGAGACTATGTTGTCCCTTAGATGGAGTGCTTGGCAGATAGTTTGGATTGCACTATTAGGTGTATCGAATGGTCCTATTCAATTTAAAAGTGCCCTCAAAATTTAGCCTTTGCTCGAATTGCTTGCAAAATTTACATGGGTGCTCACCTGCTCATGCTTGCAAAATTTTTGCAACTGCTTGCATGCTCACTTTCTTGTTAACATGCAGATGTGCTTGATTGCTCGAAATTTCATTAATCCTGCTTTGTAGTTATTTTTTATACATAATTACATAAACAGTAAATTAGTGATGATATGGTTAAAACAAAAAGGTTGAAACATCCTTACCTCTGGCTTCAGTCTTTCTTCAGTGACTCGCAGCCTGTAACTGTTTTGGAGGCGCAGCATGTATTATTATGAATTCAAAACGCACAAAGCTCCGTGACAAGCATTTCATTTATTGGTTTATTCTTTATCATATTTGATTGTCACAAGCTTTCTGCTTGAGAGGGGTACAGTTCTTCTTTACAGTTCCCTACAGGTTTTTAACACTTAAACTCCTGTGAGTGACAGTATTTATACAATATCATGCAGATAAGAGATGAGAATAAAGAAAAATATCAATTATGGGATTACCAATTGATCCGATACCAAATTCTCCAAACTAATATCAAGAGAATCATTTGGCAGACAGTTGAGAGAATTACTGAAGAGATCTTGGGAGTGAAACGGTTAAGAATGAATGGAAAAGCTCAACGCCTTCTTCATTAAAAAGGTGGCAAACAGTTTTTAATATGCGGTGCATGATTAAGCCTGAAATGAACATATGTGGCATGAATTTTACAGAAAGGAAAGGTGATGAGATTGGGAGTTTTACACTTTAAAATTTGTGAGGCCTGAAGTCGTGCTTCTTAAAATATATGTGATGCATGAATCTCTCTTGAATTCATGTATAAAATAAGATCAGGACCCCCTTTAGTACTGAGAGCAGGAGAGATAAAGAGGCTCCAGAGAAGAACCTTGAGACATTGCCTCCATAGTCAAAATTGTTTTGATATGCA